GGATTTCGCATGAAAAGAGGGCGTTTAAACGTAGCAGTTAAATCTGTAAAGAATACACTCATAATAATTTTCATTTTTTTAACATCTTGACTTCCATAGCTCCACTCCCACTATCAACTGAAATGTCGAAGCATTGCCCGGCTCTGAGTGACCCTTGAGATTACGACCCCCCTCCCCAGCGGCCAAGTACGACCCCCCCCCTATGGGTTTCGCACAACTGTACCCTGTTTGGGAGATGCTGGTGCACGCTGGTAGACGCTATTCTTTCCCAGTCGCTGACTCTGCGAGACGCTTGTGGACGCTGCCGCAAAGTAAGAACGCAGCTTTAGAAAACGGAGATCCTTCCGAATCGCGCAGTTCCCGAAATCACGGATTGATGGATTGATGCATACATTTACATTGAATTTGCAGTTCGGTCCTGCGAAATTACCGACTCACATCACTCGCAGAGCATAAACGCAGTCTGAACCATCCAACAGATCGATCGGTGAACAATTCAATGCAATAATTTATTATTCTTAAATAGACTTTTTAAAAACTTATAAACACAAGCAGGGACTACAAGGTCACTTGAAGTGGTAGTAAGCATCCAGCGTAACAGATCGCAGAGAGTAGAAAAGCCGGTTTTTGTTCTAGCTTGCACAAAAGAAACATGACCAAAACAAGAACCTGCCCATTTTCGGATCCGGTAGAGGAAGAGATCGAAAGAGCGGCAAAGTGTTACACAAAGATGCGTCCCTCCTCATCGAAATCTCTCCCAACCTCAGAAACAACACGGTAGCTTCGCAGTAGAAAATGAGAATGTCATATGTAAAGCTAACACTTTAGTACACAAGCTGGATTAGTGTTGACTTGATTGATCTCCTGAACTTTTTTTATGCAGCATTATTACGACCCGCCACAGCGGTGCGAATCTCACGAACGATTTCTTCCTGCTTTTCCTTCTCCATGGAAGTGTCAACGGAACGCAGATCACCGATCACCTAAAACAAACGTTATAATCCATGTAAATAATAACAGTTCAAATTTTTCCCTCTGCGAATTCCTCACCACAACCTGAAGCGCCCATTAAAGACAGTTCCCGCGATCGTAACCCGTGAAGTGCACCCGGCATTCGGGTGGACTTCACGGGTTACTCGCTTTGAATGTACCACTTTCGTCACTCGGAACAAGGAGATAAAGAGGCTGATTATTGCAACCACTATTATTTTACACTCTGCAAAACAACGGCTTACAAGCGAAATTACGTGTGTGCATTGTGTTCCTTGAAGCATCGTAGGGCGAGTTCCACACGCTTGTCGACTCTTTTGCAAGCTTATGAGTTGTTTTGCTTTACCTGGACGCGTTTTTGAAACGATTATGTCAACGGCAGTCCAGTTCGCAAGACAAGATGGGTTTGGGCGCCGCTCAAGTACAGCAGCGATGCGACTGATTTGGAGCAGAAGCTCGTCCTGCATTACTTACAGTAGTCCTACTTTAAAGGACAGAGTTTTCATTTTCTGTTACAGCGTCTTGGTACCTCGTTTTCTTTTCTTATTCCTAATGCATTTAGTACCAGAGGATGCGAGGAAACGATTTGTGAGCGGGTCTGCACAGAGGCCACAGAGCCTCGAGTCGCCAACAAATCTGAGAGAACTTATAGAATGAGGTAAGCAACTGTAGAGGAGGAGTTTTGTTGAGGTGTTCTCAATGTATTTTTTGCTTCTTCCACTATTAGAGTCACTTACCGGCTGCTGATTTTAACGACACGCACTAACACTCGACAGCGGGATTTTCTTTATGAGTCGTGTGCCACAAAGTCGTTGCCATTTGTAAACAGGCGTCGCGTTACGACAACCGTTGTGATTTTGCATATGGTTTCGCCATACTGAAAGTACTCGCGATGGGCTATCTTCTGAGCTAGCTAGCTCTAAATTTCCTTTCCTGATCTTTCCACAATAAAGCAGTGAAGATGAGTGATAGTTGCTGGACTACTACAATCTGGACATCTCCAGACGTCAGGCCACGACCAGGATGCGTCAGCAGTTTGGTGATAACACCCCTTCTAAGAACTGGATGTCAAAATGGGGGACTCGCTTCACCAATGGAAACTATGGCATCGAAGATATGCCGAGGTTTCTGGTTCTCTCGTCACGGCGTCTCCACTATAGCACCTACCCAATGCCACAGTGACGGCAGAGACCCTCTCTAAAGAATTACAGGAGGTCAAGGTGAAAGCTGCCGCCTTGTCCCAGAAACTTGCAAATCCGTGGTTGCTCTGGGACAACGCGCGCCCCCACAAAGCGAGAGATACTCAGGCGAGGAGAGAGATAGAGTGGGGAAGAGATACTCCCTGGACAGGCTGGGCATCAAGACGTTCACGCATCCACCATATAGCCCGGACATCAGTCTATGCGATTACCACATCTTCCGGTCCATGCGAACTTCCTGGACGGAAAACAGCAGCTGAAAGAACCTTGCGCGACCTCGAGGACGTGATCGAGGACTTGGGCGAGTCGCGGCTGGCCGGCTTCTGAGAGGATGGAGTTGCCTCTCTACCCGATCGTTGGCGAAAGGTGGTGGGTATGCATGGAGATTATATCATGGACCGGTAAGTTCAACTTGGTGAGTTATCTTCATAAGCTCTGCAAAAAACGAATGGCCAACGAACTTTGTGGACACCCTAAATAAAAAAAAAACAGAAGACAACATAGGTCACACCTTTTTCGTCTTGCCAGAAAGAGAATAGCATTTTCATTGATTGTTGAGCGCATTTTCGATTCTTGATCCTAAACAACGTACATGAAGTTTTTATTTAAGGTGCTGAAAGAATTAATTGCACCATCTACCTTTTACTGCCCCAATCTTCGGAATGCGGAAAACGACTACACTTCAATCTAGCCAAAACTTCTCCCGACCGTATTTGATCCCCGCACACCAACTCGCGACCGTTCGAAGCGACAACGCGTGCTGCCTGCGCCACAAGGAAGTTTATCTGGTGGTGTCATGGATCATTTTTGGCCCCGCCCCTAACGAACGTGCCAGCCATTTCTGCAATACGCGGATGTGACATTCGCGCTCAGAGATCAAACTGCGACCGAAAAAGCGCTCAGCACATATCTAGCCGGAGAGTTTAGGTGCAGGTGTCTGACGGTATCGAGCCACGCATACGAGGTGTTCATGCTCATGTGGTCAGCCATCCACAGGAGACCTAATCCAAAAAAGAAATTCCAGACCGCGAGAGAACACAAATTTTGCAGAACGAAATTGGCTCCGAAATTTCGGGAGCGGGGCAGTAAGAGGTCACAAACTGGTGCCAAATCATTTCATCACCACAAAAAATGAAACAGCACCTCGATCATTCTTCCTATGTTGACGAGATGAGTATTTTGGTCGTTGACCGGAGAGTCTTGATCAGCCTTAACGCCATATAATCAACAGAATCAAGAAAAAAAAAAAAAAACACGCGTTAACGGCACGCTCTGCGTTCGTTTAATGTTCAAAGGCCTTCTTTGGACATGGTAATCCTGCCTGCAAGCATGGAGGATGTACCATTTCCGCAGCCCAAGATTACATTAGGAGATCACCACCCACTCGCGATAGAACCATAGCTAACCCCTTTGGCCACTGCAAACCCAATTTTTATTTCTAGAGGTTGCGCTGTTGTACGGTTGTTCCGCTACAGGCTCTCTCCACTTCGAGTGGTTAGAATTAGCTAATAAGGAGAAAGAGTTGAGGCAAGCGCAACGAATTTATCAGAGCAGAGTTACGGGAGTGAAGAATATACCAAAAGGGTTTGGGTTTATGCTTTCCAGAATGGTTCGCTGAATCAAAGCGAGTCCGATTAGGCTCGCGGCTTCAAAGGACTGCGACAACATAGCCTTCATGAGTGAGAAGATTTTTTGGATGACATCAAAGTTGTTAACCTATCCATGACGGTATAGCTCACCCATCACGTATTTTACGAAAACAGGGGGAGAAACTGCGGTTAAGGACAAAGAAGGATCTGACTCTCTTTCTCATCAAAGACACTGTGCACCCACCTCGATGGATCGTGACCCTTGCCATGCGTGGAGTGAACGCGGTTCGCAACTGCAGAAGCGAGCCACCTTCCCCAGTCAAAAGCGGGCAAAGCAGAAGCGGGTAGTGTTGGGGGCCATCCTCACAGTCGACCTGAGTTGCAGGACAGCAAGCTACTCTAACCATAGTTAAACGCGCTACTTGTCTGTGACTGTTCTCTGCCGCTATGTGCGCGTTTCGCTGCGGGATCTTGGTGTCGACGAAAATGCAGCACCTTGAGGATAGCGCTGATGTAGAACGAAAACGATACTCTTAGCAATTTGGAGCGCAGAAAGTGGCACACTACTGCAGTTACCATGCGCCTCACATATAGTAAGGACCGTCCTCAGAGATGGGTTAGTTCCTCCTTAGTGGAGCCCGACCATACCTGGTAGAAAGGTCGCTCGGCATGACAAGCCACCACTCGAGTCTTTCTTCCATCCTAAACTCTCACAAAAAAAACATACCTGTCTTGTTAGTGATCCTCCAAGATTCATCATACCACTTCCTGGTTTATTTGTTTGCAACCAAAGCATGATCGTACTCGTCAGCTTATAATGAACTTGGCGCGAAGACTGCAAAAGACGTTCGGATTTCTAAACCCATTCGGAAGGTAATACATGTCTCAAATGCCAACACTTACTCTTTCGTTAATCTCGATAACATGGATAGAATCCCAACATCCTTGAATAGCTTTTGAACCGTCTCCGTTCTAAATCAGATCGTTTCACAATAGAAACAAAAAATATTAATGAACAACAAAATTCTGTCAGTTCCTTATTCCACATCTCTAAAGTTAACATTTAAAGGGAGCTGGCACGATAATTTGCTGCCGAACCTAAAATGCTAGCAGGGCGCTATATAGTGGGGAAAATGGCGAAAAAACGAAGTGGAAAGGGCAAAAAACTGCGAAGACAAGCCTTCATTCTCAATGACTCAAAATGCAATTCCGGACGAGTTTCCGCAAATGAAACAGTACGAGCGTCAGGTACGGTCGTCCATTTGCGGGCGGGCGGGCGTGGTGGGCGTTCGGGTGAGCATGTTCCAGCTTGATAGAGCCTTATAAGGATAGCCTTCTCGGAAAAAGCGCGCAGCGCCTGCCCGGGTCGCGGAATTCCGTCTTGCCAGGCGTATTAATCCTACTCGTCTTAAGAATTTATCTTCCCAATTGCCTTTGAACTATGGCGCCTAGTAAGGCTGCGTTTATACTTTGCGGCAGCGTAGCGTAGCGCTCCAGCGTACGCCAGCGGCAGTGCCGGGGAGAGGATGGATATCGATCTAGCGTTCCCAGCGTCACCAGCGTTTCACCAGCGTTTTGCTGGCGTTTGCAGCGGCAGGGGAGTAGAGACTATGTGGCCGTAAGAGACGCGCAATCGATGTGTATGTAGAGACTATGTGGCCGTCAGAGACGCGCAATCGATGTGTATAGTAGAGACTGAGGGCGAGTGAGAGACGCGCAATCGATGTGTTTTGTACCCTCCAGCTCTCCCATAGTCTCTACTCCCCTGCCGCTGCAAACGCTAGCAAACGCTGGTACGTTCGTTCGCTGGTTAGTACGCTGGAAACGTACGCTACGCTAGGCTGCCGCAAAGTAAAACGCAGCCTAAGAAAAACGCTTTCTGGGGCATCTAGCACTTTCCTTGGTTTGCACTGCTTGTTCCGTAGAGTACCTTTCGTCTTGATGGACCAGTGGACTCCTGTCACACGTAAACGAATATCACACTACAGCGTAGCTTCACAGGAATTCACCAGGTTTTCGTCGGAGGCATAGGCAGTGATCCTTGGGAACCAGCAAAATGCCCCCACCAAGCCGGACTGCGGCGAAATAAATACATATTTTGGAAGCTAATGGTAAGCGAAAAAAGCTAGTCACCACTTAAGACAAATTTGGACGTTGCTAAGACTTAAAATTAGACGTTCCGAGAAGGACTCTACTATAATCACTGGAATACAAGTATCGCGAGACGAAAAAACCATCACCAACCTTCTTGATGAGGACTACTCCGGCAAACCCGTGATCCAGATCCCAGAAGTAAACAGAAGATATACCTCCTTCAAAATACCTAAAAACAAAAAACGAGCCTCATTAAATAGCGTTTACGGTCTCACCAGTTCAAACCGGCTGCAATTAAGAGCAATACAAAGCACTCAGTTCAAACTAGCTCGCAATCAGGAGCAATACAAAGCACTCCAACTTCAAAAATAGTAGCTACTTTAAGAACCGGAACAGAAACTCACATATCCCTATAGCTTTCAAAGGCGGCATTAGCTTCGATTTCTAATTTTCTCAACTTTTCCGATGGCAACTGAGCATCCTCCGCTGGAGGATCGTAGGTGTTCGTCCATGGAGACCTGAAACACCAAGTCAATAATCCTGCTGCTCGTTCAAAAGCAAAGTATAGTCAAGGCAAGCCCGTGTACAAAAATAGGAAGTTGGGCTACTCAACTACAATTTACAGGGTAGTAAGTGATTCAGTACCGAAGAAAAAAATTAGAAGAAAACTTGCTAAAAATGCGCAATATGGGACCCTGTGCTGAACGTCGCTTGTAAGCGCATAAGGCGAAGAAGGGGCGGGTTATACGAACTCTCACTTGTGAGACAGCTCTTTCTCCTTATCACCCCATCCTCACCATTCGAAATAGGGGTACTTAATGCGGAACAACCGCACCATCAGCTAGGAGTTGAAAATGAAAGCTGAGTGTTGCCGTGGTCAGTAGGGCGGGCCGTGGTTCCGTCGCGAGCGAGCGGCGCTTTCCTCACCTAGTTTTGAGCTGCGAAACTAGTAGAACGAACCTTCACCCTCGCAGGGAGGACTACTATGCTCGAAGAAGGCGCTT